CAGAAAGCCTCATCTTCGTCCGGTGAGTAACTCTCAGTCCAGCACTGTAGTACCGTCGTTAGCAGTCCAATGTGTAACCCGCTATGCCGTGGGAGCTCCTCTTCAGCACCTTCATCTCCACCCAGAATCTCACCAGCTGACTGTGGCCCTGCTCTCAGCACGCGGTTTCTGAGGGTCTAGCACAGAGCAGGCATGCAACCCCACCCTCAGAGAGATTAGCTAATAGTTAACCTGTGGAAAGAGTCCAGCTACTGAAAACGACAAGCTAAGAAACGCAGTGACCAGCGTGTGCTTCCGAATGGGTGAGGACAGAGTTCTGGACCGAGCTAGTGACGGCCGCACAGCACCGTGGATGCACTCAGTGTGCCGACAGCACATGTTCAAACGGTTCAAATGGTAAAGCTCGTGTGTATTCTGCCACAAGTGGGCGCTTGGGGGGTGGGGCAGAATCGGGCAAGGCGGCCCATGCAACAGAGGTGGTTTTTCACTAATTTCTGCAGCGTGATGCTATTATCTGGTGTTTTACTGTTACTTTAACACCAAAATATCACTTCCACTTTATGAATAAAATTACAAAATGGGTCTTTTGACAAATGAGGTTAAACTCGAGATTGAAAGAAGACAGAGGGAAAGAAATGGAAAGAAACAAAATACTTCCCCCTGAATAAATTAGGGATCTGGAATGGGAAACAAATCAAATCTATTTTTAAAAATCATTTTATTGGGGTTCCTACAACTCTTATCACAATCCATACATACATTGTGTCAAGTACATTTGTTGCCATCATCATTCTCAAAACATTTGCTTTCTACTTGAGTCCTTGATATCAGCTCTTCATTTTCCCCTCCCTTCCCGCCCCCCCATGAACCCGATAATTTATAAATTATTATTATCTTGTCATGTCTAAGCACTGGCTGACATCTCCCTTCACCCACTTTTCTGTTGTCCGTCCCCCAGGGGCACATCAATCTATGGAGGAGTCCTTTCAGGAGAAGATGGGTAAACTTTAAAAAGTGTGCTTTGGCGCCATCTAGTGCTCCAACGGTGGAAGGACAGCACCCAGCCCATAAAGTGACAGTCATTACTACCACTTTTTGAGCACATAAAAGGTGCCAGACACCACTGGCACCATAGACTCCATAACGCTTCAGGTCTACTTTGGAGAGCTGTGACTAGGACCTTAAAGCTCGCAACCAGTCTTCTGAGGAGCAGAAGAGACAGAAGGAATCAGAGACTTGGAGAGCAGCGAGATTAAAGGACGAGTGGGCTCCTGGCCTATTGACTGCCCTTTTCTTCAGGAAAGAAATGACTGACTTGGCGCCCAGCCTCCCTGGCAAGGAGAAAGTTTTCTACTATAGCCCGTAATGCAGGATGAAGTGTAGGTGGTACAAACAGATGCGGAGAGAACAGGAGAAAGTGGCACACATCTCAAAATTCTTTAAAAACGCCATGTTTCTATCACTCCTGAGATACTCCATTACCCTTGAACCGAAACTATTCCTCACGTTACCTTTCAGCTAAATAGACTCTACTCTGGGACTACCGGATTCCTTTAATACAATCATCTACATAAGATCAAATTGAAAGCAATGAGAAGGGCGCAGCAACCAGAAACTGGATATGGGGCAGCCAGACTGCAACCGAGAACGGTGCCA